GTCGCGCAGCGGCGCGGTTCTCCTCTGCCAGCCCGGGCTCCCCGGGGCGTCCCCGGCTCGGGCAGGAGCCCCGGGGGGCACAGGGGCAGCCCCGAGCCGTACGTCGCCTCTCTGCGCTAAAGCAGCCCGGGGCGGGAGGCAGCGCTCCGCCTCTGAGCAGGCAGCTCCTAAGGGACAGCAAAGTTGACTCCTGTCGCTCAGTGTTTGGTGAGAACCAGGAGTTTAACTTAAACCAAACCGCTATCTCACCAAAAGAGTGGTACCATCGCCATGGCGAGCCATTGTGGAAAATGAATTAGACTTTAAAAAACAAACAGTGCACTAACTCTGATTAAGCTAAAAACTTCACCAAGCTGAGCATAAACATACACGTATTCACAAGCCATCCGGCAGTACCTGGCTCGGGTTTGCGCGCACATTTTGTTTCAGGGGAGCTGAGCACAGGGCCAGAATGGAAAATCAGATTCTGCTGCTGGATCTGCAACAGCTTTTCTATTCTGTATTTTGTTTAGTATTTTAATTTCTGTTTCTCAGCTCCTCGGTTGTAAAGTGGAAACGCAACAATAAATAACTCAAAATGTTATGAGGTAAAAGCCATTCATACTTGCGAGCTGTCTGGAATTAATGTGAAAAATGGAAGAAACTATTCAAAAGTACTTAAAACATTCAAGGCTTTCTCTATATTACCTCTTATATCATAGAATTAATATGTATTTTGAGGGAAACTGTGTTGACTTACAGCCCACAGGATATAGAAATGAGATGGTGAAGAAGATTTCCCTAGGAAAATATTTTACACAGCTGTTGCTCGAAGAGCTGTTTACTTTATTTCATTATATACATGTATGTGTGTGTGTGTGTATGTGTGAAAAACTATGAAGAGTTCACTTGAAGAACTCTTGGCAATAAAAAGAAAACTGTTTTAGCTCTAGCTCTTTCCAGAGCAAAATTAAACAATCTCCCAATTAGGCTGCAAAGAAATGAGCAATTCTGTCTTGCTCGATTTTTAACTTTCCCTTAGTTCTCCAGGCTATGGTGTAAATCTTTGCTTTATGATGTGGCCAAACCACATAAGGCTGTTTCACCCATTTAAAACAGAGAGTGAGCTAATCATTGTCTAAACTAGGATTGTCTAAGGATGCTCAGGGTCCTCTTCCCATTTTCTCTCTAAAGTAACAGCCAAAATAAAGTAGATCACAGATTAAAAAGGAGATCACTGAAACAAAGGCTGTAAGCAGGACAGAGAAGTCTGAGAAAGTTCATGTTGCTGCTGTAAACCTGAGCGACCCAAGGAAAACAACACAAACAAACAGCTTGCAACTCTCTGAAGTAAACCTGAGGACTGGATTCTGGTACTCTGATTTATGTCAGCTCATAAGTTATGGCCCACGTAGTTTCATTGAAGGCAGTGCGATTGCTTGTGAAAACAAGTAGTAAATACAATCCAAATCTGGTCTGAAATTGTTTTTAAGGCAACTTTCAACTCCTGGTATTTTCAGAAGTGTCAGCTTACTTTATTTGAAAGGGCAGATATACTTCTTACCAAGATTAGAAGCAAATCTAGCTATAATTAAATATTCACCTGATTTTCTGTCAAAGTGTTGTCTTACCAGCATCTGTTCTTGTTGACTTGTCTTATAATTCAAAAGAGAAAACACCATCAAGAAGCTTTTTATTTTCTCTTGGTTTCAAGTTGCTTTGCCTCTGTTTTTAGCGTTGTCAATGTCAGTCTGTCTGTACTCTGTGCTTTCTCTCTTTCTTCTTCTCGCTCTTTTTTTCTTTTTTTCTTTTTTCTTTTTTTTTTTTTTTGAGAAACAGGGATCAACTAGGCCTAGTAAACAATCCAATAACTATTGGAAAGCAGTTCAAAAATTCAAATGAGCAACTAATGAAACTTGGTCTAGTTTACAGACATTCTGAATAATTTTTAATTAGCTATTCTTTAATTAATATTCCCTGCTATGATGACACCATTAATTTTCTCCTGTGTGACTGAGTTATCTTTATAAAATGAGATCCCACAAACTATTAACCTATTTTTTTCTTACACCGAAAAGAAAAATATAGGTGTCAGTCTTACATTTTTTCGCCAATACTGTCATTCCTTTCCCCAATACGAAGCAATGATGTCATGGTTCCCCAATGGCTGCAACTGTTGTGTACAATACACACCCATAACAATATAATCTGAAACAAATTCATCTTTCATAGGCACTTTGAAAATCCTGAAACAGGGAAAGCAGGGAAACTCTTTTAAAGTTTAAGCCACTGGTTGGTTGCTTATAGAAACATCCTAAATCAGTTACTGACTTAGAGCTACTGCTGATTGGGATTGAGACTGAGGGACTGGATCAAGCCTTCATGCAGCTGCTTTGTAGACATGTTTACAGACAAAGGTCTTTGAGCAGTTCATATAAACTCCTAGGCAGAGTCCAAAAGCATTTATTTTATCAGAAAAAAACTCCAGATTTTGTGCTTTCTTGATGAACTGTCACAACGAACTTTCCTGCTGTACATGTCTTTTTATAGGTGCTTGTGATTTGGGGGAAAAGCTCAGGAACATTCAAAATGCTGGTTTGACCTTTATTCTTCTCTCAAGCTAAGAGTGTTTCAATGAGTGAGATTTCAAAATCTGAATGAGATTTCAAATGACTCTTTGAACGCCCAAAGCAAAACCAACACCACAGGGAAAAGACTTGTTTGAAAATAAATGCCAAAGGAGAGAGAACTTTCTAAGTCTGCCCTTAGCAGGTACAGGCCTGGGGGACATAGCATGTTTTGAGAACAGGAAAAGGTTGTGTTCTGGATCTTTTTTGTCTCGTTTAATTACCACATCTGTACTTATCCTTGCACCATCTTAGCCCTTCCTTCCTTCCTTTCTTGCTTGCTTCCTTCCTTCCAGACAGTATGTGACCCAAGATTTTTGCCTTGATTGATTTATCCTATATGATGCATGGCCACTAACTCCATGTTTAATTTTGTTTATTGAACAGGTTGTAATGAGAATGAGGCAGATCACCTGGACAGAGACCAGCAGCCTTATCCCCCATCCCAGAAGACAAAGCGCATGCGCACCTCCTTCAAACACCACCAGCTTCGTACCATGAAGTCCTACTTTGCTATCAACCACAACCCAGATGCCAAGGACCTCAAGCAGCTTGCCCAGAAAACAGGCCTGACCAAGAGAGTTCTTCAGGTAAGAAGCCACATCACAGGCTTGACAGAATTTTCCCCTACCCCTGCCAGTCAATAGCATTTCCCTTACGTGTAACGATAACTATGTATGTAGAAATGCTTTTGCTAGATGTGTCCCTAGTGGGTGTGCAGAGGGGTATGGTATTATATGACAGGAGTGCCAAATGTACGCCCTCCTACCCCCAGGCAGCCAAATACTGAAATGTGATTTGTAATTAGTTGCATCCTCAACATGAGAAAATTATCTCCAGAGCCTACCAACCCAGTAGACATCCCGGGATCTGTAGTCTCTCTGTGGTGACCTTATTACGGGTAGAGGTATCAAATCTACTCATTTTATACACATTGGGTGGAGCCTTTGGGCTCTCCTGAAGTAGTTAATGTGGCCTCTCAGTGAGCAGATCCCCTAATATGTAGGAAGCAAGCTTTGAACAACATGATCCTCCAGGACCAGCTGGCTCCCTCTCTCAATGCCTGTTAGACAATTGTTATTATTAAGAGCCTATGTCGCAAAAACTCACTTCCCTGTGAAGGACAGCCCTGCAAATGGCACTGAAAAAATGCCTGTACGTTATGTGCTAGCTCAGTGAAGTTAAAGCAAGGTGTGTATTATATGCAGAGTGTCAAAGAAGGGCAGCGATCCAGGTAGAAGGAGAATCTATTAGCGGCAATTATTTGTCCGTGTTACAAGTCACCTAAAATATTCTTAGTGAACCTTACAGAACAGAAAGACTAGGTGACCCATGTCAACAATCTTTATGATAGGGATGGTGTAACCACCACTCCTTCCTCTTCAGCCTTTTAAAATGATCAAGACAAACTTCCAGCCTTGGCAAAAATCTGCTCATCCATTCTTCACCTCAAACTTTGTCATATCTTGACCCCAAACCTACCCAACCAGAGAGTACACTACATGGCCATCAAGAAAGTTGCTTTCCTCGGGTGAGCGAGTGAGCAGATTTTTCTTAAGGCTGCCCTATGAGGTCTGCACACTGGGCTGCAACGTTCCAGTGAGTGCGCGTAGCACTGGGCTTCCTTTGTGAAAGAGCCCAATCCCGCCAGTAGCAAGTGGAGCTGTAGAGTGACTTAGTTGATTTGCCACACAAAAACAAACATCAAAAAATGACTTAAAAGCAAGAACGAAGACGAAAATAAGCAAAACAAAACAAGCATCGGTAAAGAAATCAATTGGGATTGGTTTGCAGGTTTGGTTTCAAAACGCAAGAGCCAAATTCAGAAGGAACCTTTTGCGGCAGGAGAATGGGGGTGTCGATAAAGCTGACGGCACCTCACTTCCGGCACCGCCCTCAGCAGACAGCGGCGCACTCACTCCACCCGGCACTGCGACCACTTTAACAGACCTGACCAATCCCACTATCACTGTAGTGACATCAGTGACCTCTAACTTGGACAGCCACGAACCCGGGAGCCCCTCACAAACTACCTTAACGAACCTTTTCTAACATTTCCGTTT